CCAAGATTGATTAATCATCAGTAACAAGCCTGATTTCACCTTCACATCTGTTATTAGTTGGCATTATTCACAGACTACAGAGGTTAAGTAAAATCTTCATAGTACCTCTGTTGTGCCCCAGGATCTCCTAAAACGGGGTCAACAATCTACCAGTAGATTGTGGCCAGGTGACTGGTAGATTGCAGTCTGGGCTTGCTGACCCCCCATCCCAGAGCATCAAACAGAGTGCAATGCACTACTACAAAAGGAGTAGTCTAGAAGAGATATAGTAAAATGGTGATTCTCAACCTTCCCGGCGTGCTGACAGCGCACCCAGAAGGTTGAGAATCGCCATTCTACCATATCTCTCCTAGATGTCCAAACTTAACCCCTTCACGCCTAAGGGTAAAACAAATCTGTAAATGCCTAAGCACAATTCTGCAATGTTGACACGTGTTAGTAAAACCGTACATATTATCACCGCTACTTTGTACATCCAGGTGGATTATACCTTGTTTTTTTTCAGGACAAATTGGGCTTTCATTTGGTGGTAAATGGTAAGGAATAGCTCCTAATTTTTTTTTTTAATTATCAAAGAAAAACTGGCCCAAAATAGTAAAAAAAAAATATTTTTTTTTATTTAGCTGTGTGTTTCTTGTTACAACCATAACCTACCTCCATAGAACAACCCAAAATAAATTCTCCAGCTCTTGACGATCGCGTCGATACCATATACGTGTATGTTATTTGTTGTTTGTACCCGTAGTACAGCCTAGAAACAATAGTACGCATTTTCTTTTTTTTTTTTTTTTTTTTTTTTTTACCTAAAACACACTGACATTAACGCTAACTGACACTGATACCAATTTTTTTTTTTAAATCCTGACATTTGACCCTGACCTTGACCCAAACAGTAACCCTGGCACTGAACTAGATCAAACCTTGAGCTAGGTATTTTTCTTTATTTTTTCTTTTATTTTTTAATAGTTATTTATTTATCTTTTTTATTCTTTTTTTTTTTTACAAACTTTTTTTTATCTCTCTATGTCAGGAGTAAGAGAGATACAATGTATCTCTCTTCTCCATTCATAGAGAGAAAAAAAACAAGGGGGCCGAGCTGCACAGTGACTGATCACTGTGATAGCCAATCAGAGGCTATCACAGCGATCACGTGACCCGGAATTGGGAGTCCCAGGTCCCAAATGTTAGAATGGGACCCGGGGCTCTCAGTGACACCGCGGTCTCTGTGCTGGGACCGCACCGTGCGGCGCGCTCCCAGCACAAAGACAGGTACGCAAATATGCGGCCCCACGGAAAAAAGCCCAGTTTCGTGAGGCCGCATATTTGTGTGCCGTCGGCGTCAAGGGGTTAAAGACACTGCTTGTTGTTTAACCACTTCCCCCGCCGCCCTATAGCAGAAATAGGGTGACAGGCCTGTGCAAAATCACGTGTATATATACGTGATTCGTGATATATGTGATTCGCATTTCCAGGTTAGGCGGCGCGCGGCCATTGCTGCTACAGATATCGATCACCGGGTCCCAGCCGGAGATTCCCCACTGGCACTTGGCGATCCCCAAAAAACAATGACAGGGAGAAACCTGTGTGTAAACAACACAGGTCTCTGTCCTGCCAGCAAAAACATTCTGCGGTGTATTTCTGTGCATAGCAGATCATTACAAAGCAGCATGCTTACATAGTAAAACACACACAGCACATAATGGCAGTGGCAGTTAGTCCCCCCCAGTGTCAGAATGCCCACCGCAGTCCCTCGAAAAGTCACTGATCGCCGCCATTGCTAGTATTAATTTAAGAAAAAAAAATTCCAGTATATATACCGCCATTTGTAGACGCTATACCTTTCATGTAAACCAATTATTTTATATGTATTGGGATTTTTTTAGCAAAGAAATGTAGCAGAATACATTTTGGCCTAAATTTATGACAAAATTTCATTTTTAAAATTTTTTTTACTGGACATGTTTTATAGCAAAAAGTCAAATATTGTTTTTGTTTTTCAAAATTGTTGGTCTTTTTTTGTTGATAGCTCAAAAAATAAAAACCGCACAGGTGATCAAATACCAAAAGAAATCTCTATTTGTGGGGAAAAAAAAAGGACATAAATTTTATTTGGGTGCAGCGTTGCATGACTGCGCAATTGTCAGTTAAACTAATGCAGTGCCGTATCGCAAAAATGGCTTGGTCAGGATGGGTGGGGGGGGGGGGGGGGGGGGGGGGGGGGGGGGGTAAATCCTCTGGAGGCAAGTGGTTAAAAACGCTTAAAATTCAGTGCACTGGTCAGAGTTGCTCAACCTTTTTCTTGTCAAGGCACCCTTTAAAATAATGCACAATTTTCGAGACACCCCTAATAGTTTTACATATTGCAGCAGCATCAACACACGTAGGGCACACAACATTAGAAATAATTTATTCTTCCAAAGCAAATACACTTTTGCACATTGGTACTGACTAGTATTCCTGCATTTGTTCTACCTCATTTTCTCCTCCATACAGCTAACCCCAGTGCTGATAGAGGGGGGTGGGGGATCAAACAAAGATGCTGTGCGGGTGCCAGATGTCCTCCTTATCAACCGATGATATCAGCAGTTATTCAGACGCTGGTGGCTGGCCCACATGGTGCCCAAGGTTGTAATGTTGCACAATGAAAAACTATGGCTTTTGTGTAACAAAAGGCAAGCTTGATCAACTTCCCACAATTTTTGGGCAAGTTTTAAGCATTTTGTCAAGGCACCCCTGAAGAACCCAGAAGGCACCCTGGTTAAGAAAGCCTGCACTGGATTACAGAGTGCACTTTTTTGCGAATAATATTTTAACTTTTTATAATACAAACTTGAATAGTTGGCATTTTACAACCGCTCCGTTTCCGCCACCCCCCTCTGCCAATCCCTCCACTGGCTTCCAATTGCGCAACGGATCAAATTCAAAATCCTAACACTGACGTACAAAGCTGTCCACCATACTACCCCGAACTACATCACTGACCTAATATCCAAGTACCACCCAACACGCACACTCTGCTCCTCACAAGACCTCCTTCTCTCTAGTTCCCTGGTCTCCTCCTCCCATGCCCGCCTCCAGGACTTCTCCAGGGTGTCACCCATCCTCTGGAACTCCCTGCCCCAACCCATCAGATTATCACCTACTCTCCTCTCCTTTAGGCGCACCCTGAAAACCCATCTCTTCAGGGAAGCCTACCCCACCCCCTGCTAACTTGCCGACCTCCTCCACTCTTCCTACCACTCCATCCCCCACAGCTATCTCCCCCTGTGCCACCATCCCCTCCCTCCTAGATTGTAAGCTCAAAAGAGCAGGGCCCTCGATCCCCTCATGTTTTGCATTGTATTGGTATTGTTCTGTCACATGTTCTGTCCCCGTTTTGTAATGTACAGCGCTGAGCGAACTATTGGTGCTTTATAAATACTGTATAATAATAATAATAATAATTTTACATTGGATGGTGAATAGAGAACCCAGGGAGGTTCTGCGATACCTTATATAATCCACTATTTGGGAAGCCACTTTTTGACTTTTACCGCAAGGTGGGTCATGTTGAGGAGGTAAGAGTCAATGGAGACAGGTGATGGCAAATTGCACTTGTATGTGGAGGAATACTTAGGTTCACTGGTTTATGGTGGAATAACAGCAATATTCAGAGGATGTTTATGTGGACTGTTTGACACAGATTTATCACTTTTATTCAACACAAGATTGCATTTAAATATTTGTGTTTTTTTTTATATGGCACAAGTTTGGATGGTAGGATTTATAATGAAGAAGTTTTTTTTGTTGCGCTACACTTTTTAGGGTTTGTTTAAATTTTTGATGTAGGAGCACATTACAGTGAACAGTGGCAACAAATGAGTTATATTTACATGCACAGTTACATAATTTTTGGTGTCAGATATAAGTTATACATATTTTGACATTCTGTGTGGTAAAGCGGAGGTTTCCTTTTTTTTTTTTTTTTATTTTGTACTCATCATAGGTGTTGGGGAGGGAGCGTTTTTAAGATTAGCTAGGGATAGTCTGGAATTCCACTTTAACTTTTGTATTTGGTCTGCTAAACCAAAAAGGCTATTAAATTCATTTTTAATATTCAAAGCAAACTCACCTGTCCATCCACAACTCCATGATTTATTTTGCTGAGAAATCACTTTGAAAATAACCCCCTAGCATTTCTAGCCATGGCCATCAAGAATAAGGGTAGATGATTGATGAAGCATTTCCCGAATCCATCTGTCTTTAAGTGGAATAAACCTCAGACATGACATATGAACAAAGCATACCCCTCTATAGTGTGTACTTATCTCAAGTAAGAGCAATTAAGTGTCATTTCTGTCTGCTGCTTTGTTCCTCTGCTAACCACATGAGTCTCTACTGACAAGTTTTTCTGATACCAAGAGAAAAAAGGTGAGAAGGAAGGGACCTCCAGAACACACCATATAATTGACAGCCTCAGCTCTGTTTCTGTGTGGGGTGTTAAGGGGGGTGTTCTTTCCCTCCAATTAGCTGTTAGAGCTCCCCTCACAACTCTGCATTGTGTAGTTTCAGTTCTCCGCCCCTTTTTTCTTACAGCTAAAACAAGCTTTATAAATTCTGGACTATGAAAGCATGTAAAGAAGAGATGGTGACAACTAAACAGGTAAAACTTATGTAGGAGGATTTGTCTCTTCTCTGTTTAGCACCTGAAGCCAGTCACTTCACTGGGTATTTGTAAGGGTTTACAACCACATTTATCCCAGGCTGTCGGGAATAGACTCAGCACTGGTTGTGGGACTCACCTGCCGTGTGGGCTGCAGTACCAGGGCTGACCAGCGGGTGCTCTCACCAGCCAGAAGCTCATTCCTGCAGTCAGCCAACACCTGAAGCTGATTGCAGGAAGTGTATTTAAGGAATGATCAGGGCCTTGGTGTATGTTTCCCATGATCCCCTGTACCTGGTATCCTGTGTTCCTGCCTCGTTGCTGACCCTGCTTTGATCCTGACCTCTGCTGACCGTCTCCTGTTGAACCTCTGGCTTGCCTGACCATCCTTCTGCCTGATCCTCGGTACCGCGCTGCCCGCTACCTGCTGAACCTGGCTTGTGACCCCGACCATTCTCTGCTTGCTCCTCCTGTACCACGCTGCCCGCACGATACCGACCCGGCCTGTCTGACTACGCTTACTTCACCCGACGATCCACCCATCCCACACGGATCACCTCTAGTAGGTCTGCCTGCCTCTTCCCATCAGACTCCGTTCCTGCACTCCCCTGCCAGTACTCTCTACCACAGCCGGACGCACTCAGGGGTCGCGACCTGGTTCCAGTCTGCACCAAGTCCATCCCCACCATCAGGGGCCCTGGTGAATAGCAGGCTGGGACTTAGACCCCGCGCCCTGAGGAAATCCGTGCTGTGGGCTGCTAGAGACACTGCCAGGCGGCACCTGACAGTACCTTACGGCCTGCCTGACCATTCCACCTCTCCAGCCTGACTACGCCTGTGTTCCTGAAGCCTGCTACTTCCCTGTATCAGTCCACACATTTCTGGTCATACCTGGATCCCTAACACAGGCATGCAGGCAGGTGGGTGTGTGCTTAGCTGAGGAAAGACCCTCCTGAATACTCCTGGGATGTATGACATAATTTTGGCCTGGGCCAGAAAACAGGACATAACTGAAGAAATGTAAAAAAAAAAAAAAAACAAGTTTAAAGCAAGTAAATATAATATCTTTCTATCTATTTACTAATGCTAGCAACATAAGGATTAAAAATAGTCAATTTAAAGTTTTTCAACTAGAAAGACCCACTCCAAAAAACCAAATCCGCTTTTCAGAGCTGAAAACTAACATACTGTGTGGAACCCAAGTAAGGAGAATTGTTACTACCATACAAGGTTCACAGATTAGCATATTACACACCAAAGCAATATCTGGAAGAGAAAAGCAAAGCCTTGAGGAGGTAGACTGGGTTCTCTATATGCATGTCATACCTTCATTTTCAATTCTGACTGTAGTGTACTTTTAAGAGAAGTTCTTTCATGAAGAGAACATGGGTTCATAGATAACATATTTTATTCTATACTGCCGGTGGTCATCATCTCCATATGGAAGCAACCATTCCCCCGAATCAAAGGCTGTACAGTATGTTACTTCTTAGCTTCCTGAAAATTCTTAGTTGTTTGTAGAATGGGCCTTCTGTGTGCCAGATTTTTTTGGTAACCGTCCAATTTATTCCTGAAATTTGTATTTTGCTCAGAGTTCATCAAGAAGGGAGTTCTGGACAGTCCCAACACCTTGACATGCCTCACTGGGCTATTTTGTGGCATTGGCGCAGTAAAGGCTTCTTTCTGGCAATTCGACCATGCAGCTCATTTTTCTTCAAGTATTGTTGTATTGTGCTCATTGAAACAACCACACTGTCTTTTCCAGAGCAGCCTGTACTTCTCCTGAGCTTACATGTGGGGTTTTCTTTGTATCACGGACCATTTTTCTGGCAGTTGTGACTGCAATCGTTCTTGGTCTACCTGACCTTGGCTTGATATCAAGAGATCCCTGAATTGTCCACTACTTACGTTTATTGAACAGTACTGACTGGCATAGTCAAGGCTTTGGATATCTTTTTATATCCTTTTCCATCTTTATAAAGTCCATTACCTTGTTATGCAGGTCTTATGACAGTTCTTTTCTGCTCCCCATGGCTCAGTTTCTAGCCTGCTCAGTGCATCCGTGTGAGAGCTAACAAACTCATTGATCTATTTATAGTCAAATCATTGGCTCCCGCTGCTGTCAATCACAGTCAATGGGTGGCTGAGCTGCGCTCTGTTTGTTTTATGTGTCTTACAACTTTGGACAAATCTGGTAATTTGGCTACTTGAATAAGGTGTATTTTTTTTTCTCAGCAGGCCTAGCACAGGCTCCTACAGCAGGTAACTAAATAAAAAAAAAAGGTCATGTGAATGCAAGACAAATATTGCAGTATCAGCATTCTGTGTAATATAAGCACATAACAGGTATATAAGCGAAGGATACGTTCTACATTCGATAGGGATGAATTGTTCTCATAAGTGTCACACTAAACAGTGGAAATGTAAATCTGCCTGTAGTTCCCCTTTAACTGCATTGCACCGAATTAAAAACATGAATAAATTCAGGCCATCACCATGAAATGCCTGCCGCAGGACACTAGACAATTGTTAATTACAGCCAAACTTGTTTTTGCTGCATAATTTCTCCTAAAATGGATATCCATCAAATGAAGTGAGCTTTGCAGGTTACCATTTCAGAATAAATTGCTTATTATGCAGGATCTCCACAGATAATCATTATGAATAAAAAGATACAAGTGTTTAGTTATATTGCTGCCTTCCTTTGAATAAAAATGAAAGCTGTTTATTGTGCCACACAGAGACATTTTTTGTTAGGACTAAAAAAAAAGTGTATTCAGCAGGGGATGCTTCACTTACAGCATCACATCCTGTGATAGGCATTGCTACAAAATCATTTACAACTCTAGTGCTATATTTATATATTTAGTCCTAGTCCGTAGGGTTCAATATTGAGTTGGCCCACCCTGTTCAGCTTCAACTCTTCTGGGAAGGCTGCCCAACAGATTTAGGAGGGTGTCTATGGGAATGTTTGACCATTCTAACGGAAGTACATTTGAGAGGTCAGACACTGATGTCAGACGAGAAGGCCTGGCTCGCAGTCTCCGCTCTAATTCATTCCAAAGGTGTTTTATCCGGTTGAGGTCAGGACTCTGTGCAGGCCAGTCAAGTTCCTCCACCTCAAACTCGCTCATCCATGTCTTTATGGACTTTGCTTTGTGCACTCATGTTGGAACAGGAAGGGGCCATCCCCAAACTCTTCCCACAAAGTTGGGAGCATGAAACTGTCCAAAATGTCTTGGTATGCTGACGCCTTAAGAGTTCCCTTCACTTGAACTAAGGGGCCAAGCCCAACCCCTGAAAAACAACCCCACATTGTGCTAATCTGAAGGCCACATGACATTTGGAGGTCTTTAGCTATTGCCTCTGCAAACAGTTGGTGACTTCTGCACACTGTGCGCTTCAGCATGCGCTGACCCCGCTCTGTCATTTTCGTGGCCTACCACTTTGCGGCTGCTTTGCTGCTTTTCCCAGTTGCTTCCACTTTGTTGTATTACCAATAACAGTTTACTGTGGAATATTTATTGGCGAGGAAATGTCACGGATGGACTTGTTGCACAGGTGGCAACCTATCACGGTACCACGCTTGAATTCACTGAACTCCTGAGAGTGACCCATTCTTTCACAAATGTTTGCAGAAGTAGTCTGCATGCCTAGGTGCTTGATTTTCTACAAATGTGGCCATGGAGGTGATTGGAGCACCTGAATCCAATGATTTGGAGGGGGTCCCAATACTTTTGGCAATATAGTGTATGTATATATATATACATATATATATATATATATATATATATGTATTATAAAAAATATTTATGTGTTATTGTGTTAGGGGGATGGGGGATGCCACTTTTCCATTTGAGTATATATACACTCACCGGCCACTTTATTAGGTACACCTGTTCAATTGCTTGCTGACACAAATTCCTAATCAGCCAATCACATGGCAGCAACTCAATGCATTTAGGAGTCTAGACATGGTGAAGACAACTTGCTGAAGTTCAAACCTCAGAATGGGGAAGAAAAAAAGAATTTAGGTGACTTTGAACATGACATCGTTGTTGGTGCAAGATGGAGTATGGTCTGAGTATTTTAAAAACTGCTGATCTACTGGGATTTTCATGTACAACCATCTCTAGGGTTTACAGAGAATGGTCTGAAAAATATCCAGTGAGCGGCAGTTGTGTGGACGAAAAATACCTTGTTGATGTCAGAGGAGAATGGTAGACTAGTTTGAGATGATAAAAAGGCAACAGTAACTCAAAGCCACTCGTTACAACCAAGGTATGCAGAATACCATCTCTGAATGCACAACACATCGAACCTTGAAGCAGATGGGCTACAGCAGTAGTAGAACACCACGCCGGGTGCCACTCCTATCAGTTAAGAACAGTAAAGGAGACTACAATTCGCACAAGCTCACCAAAATTAGACAATAGAAGATTGGAAAAACGCTGCTTTGTCTGATGAGTCTCGATTTCAGCTGAAACATTCAGATGGTAGGGTCAGAATTTGGCATAAACAACATGAAAGCATGGATCCATCCTGACTTGTATCAATGGTTCAGGCTGGTGGTGTAAGGGATATTTTCTTGGTATACTTGGGGCCCCTTAGTACCAATTGAGCATCGTTTATACGCCACGGCCTACCTGAGTATTGCTGTTGACCATGTCCATCCCTTTATGACTACAGTGTACCCATCTTCTGATGACTACTTCCAGCAGAACTGCCTGTATACTCTCAATACATGAAGCCAGGCATTGTCGTGCTCCAGGAGGAACCCAGGACCCACTGCACCAGCATAGAGTCTGACAATGGGTCCAAGGATTTCATCCCGATACCTAATGGCAGTTGGGGTGCCATTGTCTAGCCTGTAGGGGTCTGTACATCCCTCCATGGATATGCCTCCCCAAACCATTACTGACCCACCATCAAAACGGTCATGCTGAACCATGTTACAGGCAGCATAACGTTCTCCACGGCTTCTCCAGACCCACGTCTGTCACATGTGCTCAGGGTGAACCTGCTCTCATCTGTGAAAAGCACAGGGCGCCAGTGGTGGACCTGCCATTTCTGGTGTTCAATGCCAATCAAGCTCTATGTTGCCGAGCAGTGAGCACAGGGCCCACTAGAGAACGTCTGGCCCTCAGGCCATCCTCATAAAGTCTGTTTCTGATTGTTTGGTCAGAGACATTCACACCAGTGGCCTGCTGGAGGTCGTTTTGTAGGGTTCCGGTAGTTCTCATCCTGTTCCTCCTTGCACAAAGGAGCAGATACTGGTCCTGCTGAGGGGTTAAAGACCTACGGCCCTATCCAGCTCTCCTAGAGTAACTGTCTGTCTCCTGGAATCTCCTGCATGCTCTTGAGATTGTGCTGGGAGACAAAGCTAACCTCCTGGCACGTATTGATGTGCCATCCTGGAGGAGTTGGACTGCCTGTGCAACCTCTGTAGGGTCCAAGTATCGCCTCATGCTACCAGTAGTGACACTGACCCTGGCCAAATGCAAAACTAGCAAAAAACAGTCAGAAATGAGTAGGGAAAAAAATATCAGTGGCCTCCACCTGTAAAACCATTCCTGTTTTGGGGGTTGTCTCATTGTTGCCCATCTAGTGCAGCAGGTGGAAGTGCTATTTTTCCTTTGTTGAAATTTTGTGCAGACATGTTCTGGGGTTTGTAGTTACCTGAGCAAGTCTGGACTTTTGATGCTGTACTTTTAACCAATTCA